TAGCACCTGATCGTTTAGTATGTTGTTATTGCTTTCTTCATGACTTATACATGTTCCTATGACTATGAGATTATGCAACTCCCGTTTACCGGAGGAACACTTTGTGTGCTACCAAACGTCACAACGTAACTGGGTGATTATAAAGGTGCTCTACAGGTGTCTCCAAAGGTACATGTTGGGTTGGCGTATTTCGAGATTAGGATTTGTCGCTCCGATTGTCGGAGAGGTATCTCTGGGCCCTCTCGGTAATACACATCACTTAAGCCTTGCAAGCAATGCAACTAATAAGTTAGTTGCAAGATGATGTATTACAGAACGAGTAAAGAGACTTGCCGGTAACGAGATTGAACTAGGTATTGAGATACCGACGATCGAATCTCGGGCAAGTAACATACCGATGACAAAGGGAACAACGTATGTTGTTATGCGGTCTGACCGATAAAGATCTTCGTAGAATATGTAGGAGCCAATATGAGCATCCAGGTTCCGCTATTGGTTATTGACCGGAGACGTGTCTCGGTCATGTCTACATTGTTCTCGAACCTGTAGGGTCCGCACGCTTAACGTTACGATGATAGTTTCATTATGAGTTTATATATTTTGATGTACCGAAGGTTGTTCGGAGTCCTGGATGTGATCATGGACTTGACGAGGAGTCTCGAAATGGTCGAGACATAAAGATCGATATATTGGACGACTATATTTGGACACCGGAAAGGTTCCGGGTAAGATTGGGACAATACCGGATCACCGGGAGGTTATCGGAACCCCCCGGGAGGTATATGGGCCTTATTGGGCCTTAGTGGAAAGGAGGGGAAAGGAGCAAGGGAGGGCCCCCCCCCAAGCCCAATCCGAATTGGGAGGGGCCCCCCCTTTCCTTCCTCCCTCCTTCCTCTTCCTTCCCTCTCCTACTCCTAATAGGAAAAAGGGGAGTCCTACTCCCGGTGGGAGTTAGATCCCCCCCTTGGGCGCGCCACCCTCCTTGGCCGGCCCCCTCCTCCACTCCTTTATATACGGGGGCAGGGGGGCACCCCAGAGACACAACAATTGATCATTGATCTCTTAGCCGTGTGCGGTGCCCCCCTCCACCATAATCCTCGATAATATTGTAGCGGTGCTTAGACGAAGCCCTGTGACGGTAGAACATCAGGATCGTCACCACGCCGTCGTGTTGACGGAACTCATCCCCGACACTTTGCTGGATCGGAGTTCGGGGATCGTCATCGAGCTGAACGTGTGCAAAAACTCGGAGGTGCCATAGTTTCGGTGCATGATCGGTCGGGCCGTGAAGACGTACGACTACATCAACCGCGTTGTTATAACGCTTCCGCTTCCGGTCTATGAGGGTACGTAGACAACACTCTCCCCTCTCGTTGCTGTGCATCACCATGATCTTGCGTGTGCGTAGGAATTTTTTTGAAATTACTACGTTCCCCAACACAGGTGACTTCCAAACCTTCACAGACTCGGTCACTTGGCGATCCACAATTTCCTCTTGGATGCTCTAGACCATGACGCCTAACCGTCTGGAAGATGCACAGTCTTCAAATGTAACAAGCGTCAGATCCACGCAGGATCAATCTCTTCAGTGATGCTCAATCACTTTGGGTTTGTAGGTGTTTGGGTTTGGGTTTTCCTCACTTGATGATTTTCGCTCAAAGTCCTCGAAGGATGGGATGCTCTCAAATGACAAGTGCCAGTTTCTCTCGGAGCAGCCAACCAGCTAGTGGTTGTAGGGGGCGGCTATTTATAGCCTAGGAAGCAGCCCGACATGATAAGACATAAATGCCCTTTAATGATATGACCGTTAGGTGGGTAGATATTTTGGGACAGCTCGCGCATAGCACAGCAACGGTCGGAATTTTGAGTATCAAATTCCTCGGGGCTATCATGTTCCTCACTGTGTAGGCAATCCGCACTGGCGAATTCCTAACTCCTCAGTCAGAACAAATTCCTCAAAGACCAGAAGAACTTCGTCTCTGTCATTGAAGAAATTGACTGAGCTGTATGAGATTTCCAACGGCTTCACTCCAAGGGATTGGTAGGTGTAGGATTTGAGTTGAGCATCAGTTGGAAATTTTTCCTTAGTATTTCCTCGACCCCCTTTAACAGTACGGTGTTTCCTATGACTCAAGAAAAAGAAAATGAAACTACGAAAACAAAAGTCTTCACGCTTCATGTTCCTCGAATGAATACCAAGTCTTCAGGATTACACCAATTCCTTCACTTTCAAAGTCTTCAGAAATACAAAGTCTTCAGTCGAAGAACTTCATTTTTAGGGGTCGACTTTCTCTGTAAATATCAAACTCCGCATAGACTTATAGACATGTGTACACTCACAAACGCATCAGTCCCTTAACCTATAAGTCTTCAATACACCAAAATCACTAAGGGGCACTAGATGCACTTACACTCCCTCAAACCCAGCCGAGGTGATCGGTATGCAATATGCAGATGATACCCTATTGTTCTTAGACAATAATCCTGATCATGCTAGAAACTTGAAATGGATTTTATCCTGTTTTGAACAAATTTCTGGTATGAGGATAAACTTTCATAAATGTGACCTTGTCCCTATTAATATAGATAGAGATGAGGCTAAACCTTTTGCCCAAATATTGGGGTGTAAGATTAGCTCTTTCCCAATTAAATATTTGGGGGCCCCCTGCATCACAGTAAACTTATGAGAGAGGATCTCCAACCTACTGTGGACAAGATCATCAAGAGGGGTGTTGGTTGGAGAGGTAGACTCTTGTCTTATGGCAAAAGACTTATTTTAGTCCAGGCTTGCCTAGCAAGCATTCCTACCTACCTTATGGGATTTATTAAATTCCCTAAATGGGCTATTAAAATGATTAATACTCAGTTAGCTAACTGTTTCTGGGATGACTATGAGGGTCATCATAAATATCATCTAGTTGCCTAGGGTTCACTTACTATTAAGGAGTTTGGAGGTTTTGGCATCACTGATATAGGGGACATGAACCTGTGCCTTTTAGCCTCCTGGGTAAATAGATTCTACAAAGCTGAAGGTAAAATTTGGAAGAACATTGTGGAGTCCAAATACAGCCTTCACAATAATAATATTTTTGCTTGTTCTACTACTGAGGCCTCTCCTTTCTGGAAAGGTGTTCTATGGGCAGCCCAGGCTGCAAAAGTGGGTTTCTCCTAGAAGATAGGCAATGGTAGGAAAGTTAGATTCTGGGAGGACCATTGGTTTGGCACTGCCACTTTGGCTACCCAATATTGGGAGCTGTATAATATAGCCAATGAGCACAATGTCACTATTGACAAAACTTGGGTGGATAACACCCTTAAAATTTCTTTTAGGAGATGTTTCACCCAGGAGTTGTTGAGTTTGTGGAATGAGCTACTTGAGATAGCTAAGTCCATTGTGTATTCTGATGTGGAGGATTCCCTAGTGTGGAATATGAATTCCAAGGGAGTTTACACGGTCAAATCTTTCTATAAATTTGTTAATTTCGGAGGAGTGTTGCCTAGTAATACTCCCGATGCTTGGTCTATCAAGATTCCTTCTAGGATTCAGATATTTCTTTGACTCCTAGCTAATAACAAATTGCTCACTAGAGACAATTTAGCTAAGAGGCAAATTGTGCCAGATTCAACTTGTGTGTTCTGCTCTGAACTGGAAGTTTGTTACCATCTATTTTTTGGTTGCGTTGTTGCTGAGGAATTTTGGAAATCTATCACTAGGCTAACTGGGTTTACGGGGGATGTTAATATGATGTCCTTCTCTTCATGTTGGTCTAGAGGAGACAGATTTGCTGCCATTAACATTATGCATGCAGCTGGCCTGTGGGTTCTCTGGAAAACCCGCAATAACATGGTTTTCAACTCTGTTGTTTAGCCTGGAATGCAGGCTATCTGGCGAAAAACTGCTTCGAACCTCTCTTCGTGGGAATGCCTAACCTCATAGCGTGCCAGAATCAAGCTGGGAGAATGGTCGAAGGAGTTGGATCAGCTGGCAAGGAGTCCCCCTCTCTTGATGTGGCCAGACCCTGGCTCAAGCTGGGCAAGTTTCACTGAAGAATATAACTAGAGTGAGGTGGGATGGGCTTGCTAAGTACTGATGAATTGGGATCTTGAGTTTATTCATATGTAACAGGGCTAGAGCACTAGCTTGTAGCTTTTGTTTTGTTCTTGCACTTTATTCTGCACTGTGCCGAGGCGGTATGACTGCCGTTCCTCCGCGTTATCCTATGTAGCTCTCTGGACTGATTTGTTTCATTTCTGAATGAAATGGAGCTGGGGCGTGGTGCCCTTTTCCTCTAAAAAAAATCTAACGGGGCCTAAGATCTAGCCCTGACCAAAGCTCGACACTCCATCGATATCAGTCAGCATCTCTGGAACGAGATCTTATTCCACGATACCGATGACAACATCGCCTCATCACCACCAGCTAGACACCTGGCGTGTGGCCAGGGCGACCCAAACACGGTCAACCCCAAACTAGGTATCCCCCACCTCGATGGTGGCAGAAGACACCAAAAAACAAGGGGAACCGGCAGCAAGCTGCACTTCTTTCTAGCTGTAGCAAACAACCATCTCAAGTCATATTTATTATGGCATTATAAAAGCCCATTTCTACTTGAAGACAAATAATTTTTTAGGGGCATGTTTGGAGTAACTTAGTAATTCAATATTCATTCGTTTGGTTTAAATAAAATAGAGCAAAAGAAAAGTGAAGAGAAATTTCTTTTGATCCCACTTTTAAAGGAAAACTGTAGAAATTTTACAATTTGGATCTCTTCAGAATTCCTGGATGCAAAGAGATTGATTGACAAATGACAATGAACAACAAAGAGCACAGATGGTAAACCCAACAATCATGGTCGCATGTCGTATGCAAGTAAACCACAACTCAAAGGTTAACAAAAGAATAACCTTTTTCCGAAGCACATTGTCCAAAGTACATGGAATGGTACAGCCCAAACCAAGTACTAACAAAGGTGTGAACGCACGAGCAAAGAGCATCTGATTTAAAATTCTTGAATGGTCCTCTTTTGACTTTGACTGCACAGCATGAAGGGAGCAACAGCTTCAGCTTCCCAGCCAGTTGCTTCGATGCCTACAGCGAAGCTGAACTCCGGCACGCTTACAGAGAAGGGGCATCTCCATTGCTGCAAGATCTGCTATTGCATCAGTGACCACGACGCCTTAGTCTTTGCCAAAGTCTGCGCTGTAGTGGGCGCTGGATTCCAGCTTCTTGGCGTCATTCAGCTTCCTGACGGCCTGAGATGCACGAAATGTGAGTGTCAGTGCTTGTTAAGGTGCAGATGGTCTGGGTTTAAGCGTGTAGGACAGCACACCTTCATGAAGTCCTCGTGGACTACGTAGTCCCGCTCTGCGCGAATTGCAGACATGCCAGCTTCGGTGCAGACATTGCGAAGATCAGCCCCGTTGAATCCCTAAAGCCAGATGAGTCGAGAATCTGAGTGATGCGACAAGAGTTTATGTGCGATAAGAACGTTATCTAAGATATACTCACTTCAGCCAGTTTCACTACCGCTTCATAATCTATTTCTCCATGCTTGGCGATACCAGCGGCATGAATTTTAAGTACTTCTGTTCTTGACTGCTCGTTTGGTAGTGGAATCTCAATCTTTCTGTCGAGACGTCCAGGGCGCAGGAGCGCAGGGTCAAGAACATCAGGCCGGTTTGTTGCCATGATCATCTTGACCTGTTTAGGCAAAAAATATCATTGTCAAGAAGAATCCATACAGCACCAGGAAGAAAAGAATTATGCTCGATGTTAGAGAAGGGAGTCAAAAAAAGTATGCAAATCAGCGGCCAGGAAATTCATACAAGCAATGAAGCAAAGATGAACAATAAATTTTAATCACAAAATTCATCTCAAGACTGGTATATTTTACCCACGCAAGTTAAGAGTGCATATTACACACACATTCAGGCAAGGAAATTACTTCAATCAAATCCATTGCCTTTGCATATATGGCATAAAGTTACCTAGAGGGGAAAAACACTTGATGATATCGGTTTTACCTTGCCAAGCTCATCAAATCCATCTAACTGATTAAGAAGCTCCATCAGCGTCCGCTGGATCTCACGGTCGGCACTGGTTCCCTCACTAAATCTTCTCCCACCAATTGCATCGATTTCATCCATGAAGATAATGCACGGCTAGAAATAACAATTTGAACAAACGGAAACAAAATTTGTGAGCATTGCAAATAAACTAAATGGCGATATATGTTAAAAGATCTCAGAAATGCATTTATATACTCTCTAACAGGAACTCAAACGTGAAGGTATAAGTTTGATTTCTTCTTCTCTTGCAAAACTGATATTAAGATCTACTCCCTCTGTTCCTAAATATATGACGTTTTGGTAGTTCAAATTGAACTACCAAAACGATTTGAACTACCAAAACGTCATATATTTAGGAACAGAGAGAGTATAACTTAAAATTCGATAGTGTGTGGACAGGAACATATAATTAGATGACACATCTGGGTCAAAGGAACTATTAAAGTCAGCTTGCATCTCTGCAAACAACAGTGGATGCATGATCGTTTGCCACTATGCGTGTCTTATAGATAAGGGAATTAAGTTTAAGACCAACTAGCTGTGCAAAAAGGAAGGCAGAGCAAGACTTACTTGGTGATCGCGTGCATAGCCGAACATTTCTCTGATTAAACGAGCACTTTCTCCGATATATTTGTCAATTATAGCACTTGACACAATCTGGTTTTTAGACAATATGTCAGTGTAATGTAATACTCATGGAAAGAAAATACCAAGTAAAAACCACACCTTCAAAAAGTTAGCATCAATATTACTGGCAATAGCCCTCGCTAATAATGTCTTCCCAGTTCCTGGTGGGCCATAGAGTAGAACACCCTGAAAAAGGTAAAGCAAGAATACACTGACTCCCAACATCACAACATGTGTATCTTTACCTCTTTAACTTACATAGGAAAGTGGATCATAAACAAACAAAAAAATGCTAAATTTACCTTGGGAGGTTTAATTCCAACCCTGAGAAACAATTCAGGGTTCATTAAAGGCAGCTCGATTGATTCCCTGAGTTCCCTGATTTGATCAGACAAGCCACCTACAGCCGAGTAACTGACATTGCCTGGATCTTCGTGTAGCATGTTATACACCACAGGATCCACCTGAAGAAACAACAAGTTCAGTTTCACACCACATCGCCGGAAGCCAAGTTTAAATATAACAAAAGGATCATAAAATAAAACAATTACTAAATAATGCACCAACAGAAGGAGTAAGAAGCTGAACAGCATTACTAAATCATACCTCCCTTGGCAGAGTGCGCATGATTGTCAAAGTTGTCATGTCCAGCACAACACGAGTTCCAGAAGTTAACTTTTCCTTGTCCACTTTACTCCGGCAACCGACGACATATCTTGGACCACTGCTAGCCTTAACAATAACTTCAAAAAAATAGGTATTTCAGCTTTAAGTTGTTACTAATAAAAGAAAAGCAAAATTTACACGTGGCAGTTTCATGTGAATACACAAAATAAAACTGATCAACTTGGTTCTCTTATAGTGTGGCAAGCAAAGCAGAGACTATGGAGGCCCTGTCCAGTGAAGGCCTTTGTGAGTTTGCACACTACAAAAACATTCCTTTGAAGTTCATGGTACTTAGTATTCCTTCTGTAAAGAAATACAAGTGATCTAAACAATCTTATATTTCTTTACAGAGGGAGTACTTATTAATTCGTGTACACAGTACACATGCCAAAATTCGTGAAAATATATCATCTTGTGCTAAACGTGTGATATAACTTCTTATCTTTTCTTTAGTTGCACAAGATCATATATTTTGCGACTTTTCGTACATGTAACTGAACCATGATTTCTTAGGGAGCTTTTGTAAGTGTACAAATCCTCATACAAGAAGACCATTTATACTTAACTTTTCAGGGCAAGTGTCCGTCCAAAATATATGTACAAAGTATATATATCAAAAAGAAACAGAGAGAGGCTCTTTACTTACAGCGTTCATTATCAAGAGGACGAAGGACCTCTCCTATTATTTGTCCAACACTTTGCAGTGACTTCAAGTCATCTTCAGTCTTTGCGAAGTCCTTCCTAGCAATTTTAAGGTTTTCCCTCACTGCATGTAGATGTACCATGTGTCAACTGAAAGTTCATACTAAGGATCGTAATATTTTCTTATAATACAGGTGCACGTGTAGTCGTGTACTGTACAAATATCGCTCAGTACACATAACCAACTAAAAACTTTATGGAGCTGCACGCAGACCATCAAGGGTTGTAAAGTAAGCTGAACTTGGGAAACTGCCCGAGTTCCAACGCCAAAACAATTCTGCTAATTGCCCCAGTTAGCTGAAATTTTTGTAAATTTCAATCGCCTGGAAGTACACACCACTTTGCATAAACTTGCAGTAACACACAAACACTCTTTAACAGTAGAGATGTAAAATGCAATTTTTAGTCTGGATGTTATTATGCATGGAATGAGATGGGGATGAGAATGGGTGGATATCCAAAGGCTTGGAAAAGTGATTGCCTTTAGAAAATTTCAGATCACTTATGAACAGGCATCCCATACGGAAATGTGCCGACATAAATCTGTAGAGTCCACAAAATAGAAATTTGAACCAGAATTGCCACCTAAATAACAACGCGGTAATGTGAACCAGAATTGCCGGCAATGTGACATTTTTTGGGGGTATAAAGACTTATTTCTAACAGTTTGTCTAATTCACATCTAGATGTTTTTAAGGATGTCACATCTAAGCTCCCACAAGTATATAATGCAGCAACAAGAAACAAAAAAAAATAAAAAATTGACCACAGACAGAGTGAACATTAGCTTAGATGTGACACAACTATGTCACATCTAGATGTGTCCTAGACAGATCCTATTTCTAAAATGGCGGAAGAAGGAACTTCGCAAATCTACTGAAGGGCCACCAATTATTCCACATCAAGTAATCAGGGAAGCGCAAAAACTGTTAAGTTTTCTAAGGAGTCGACCACCACGACAAAAACAAAACCCTAAGTCTCTCACATCGCACTCGCTGGCAAAACATCAGATCCACATCAAGCAATCAGCGTCCAAACCAGCAGATTTAGTGCCCGGAAACAACATCTACTCTGCACCGACAGCGCAGGCCAAGGCCGGCCCTATACCGGCAACGCCCAATCTAGCACTAGAACGCATCTCGATTTCGAGCGGAGTGAGGAAGGAAGCTGGGCGCGTTACCAGTGCCGACGCGCGATTCGAGCTCCCTGCAGGTGAGCATTTTCTTGCGGTAGTCGGATATGGCCGTGCGGCGGCGGGCGGCGGCGGCGTCCTCTCCGTCGGCCATCGCCGCTGCGATCTGTCCCTCGACTTTGCTTCTGTCGCAAGAAGGGAATGAGTTCGAACTGTGGTTTTTTGCCTAAAAATATAATCTTAACCACGGAATAGCTTTCTTGTAACCGAAAACGTAAATTGTGGATGTTAGGTTGTTTTGAAGGTGGAATTTCGCAATAGTACTTTCTCCCACCCAAAATAATTGATGTTGGCATAGTCCAATTTATTTTACACATGCATTCATAAACACGTATACATAATCATCTTTATGAATGCACACACATATACACTCTATACTTATAAGCCTCTCTGAAAGGCTAAGTAGTTGTTTGGATAAACGTATTAGCCATGGGTTTATAGAAATTTAGTTAATAGAAAACCCAGTTTTGCTAGTAGTAGTTTTGTGAATAATCATTATAGAAAAATAATGTTTGGGATTAGGAAAGTATAAAGCTGGACTTTCGGTTTACTTGTTGGGATAACAATCCATGCCCCCTCTCCGTGAATTGTGAAAGTATGATGGCGTGGAAAAAGTGTGGGGAGTGATGAAATTAGTTAGGATCCAGTATTGCAAAATCATGCTTTTTGAAACAATAGCAAATAGTAGTTTTTCTACAAACATGAAATTTTGAGTTTTTTTTTGTGAAATTCTGAGTTTCCTAGAAACAAGTTCTTCACATGCGCGGATTAGTTAGAATAACTTCATTTGGTTAGATACTTTTTCTAGTTTAGGACTTGCGTTTTGTATATACTATCCATCCAAACAACCCCCAAGGGTCAGTTCTTTTGCGATTTATAGTTGGTTGTAGAAATAAGGTGTCCCTTCTCAGGTTATTGTAGAAGCCCAACCTAAAATTTTATTTAGAAGCCCACGAATTAGGGTTAACTAATACTACCTTGGTCCTGGTTTATTTGTCCCTTTTGTAATTTGTACCAGATTTGACCAAAGATTTAACTAACAAAATGTTAATACATGTTAACAAAAGTTATACCGTTGGATTTGTATTTGAACATAGTTTTCAATGATATATTTTTTGTGACATGCATGAAGATTTTATTTGTTAAATTTATGGTCAAAATTTGGCACTGAATACAATGAGGACCAATATGAAGGAAATATGCCCTAGAGGCAATAATAAAGTTGTTATTTATATTTCCTTATATCATGATAAATGTTTATTATTCATGCTAGAAATGTATTAACCGGAAACTTAGTACATGTATGAATACATAGACAAACAGAATGTCACTAGTATGCCTCTACTTGACTAGCTCGTTGAATCAATGATGGTTATGTTTCCTAACCGTAGACATGAGTTGTCATTTGATTAACGGGGTCACATCATTAGAGAATGATGTGATTGACTTGACCCATCCGTTAGCTTAGCATGATGATCGTTTAGTTTGTTGCTATTGCTTTCTCCATAACTTATACATGTTCCTATGACTATGAGATCATGCAACTCCCGAATATCGGAGGAACACTTAGTGTGCTATCAAACGTCACAACGTAACTGGGTGACTATAAAGATGCTCTACAGGTGTCTCCGATGGTGTTTGTTGAGTTGGCATAGATCGAGATTAGGATTTGTCACTCCGAGTATCGGAGAGGTGTCTCTGGGGCCCCTCGGTAATGCACATCACTATAAGCCTTGCAAGCAATGTGACTAATGAGTTTGTTACGGGATGATGCATTACGGAATGAGTAAAGAGACTTGCCGGTAACGAGATTGAACTAGGTATTGAGATACCGATGATCGAATCGCGGGCAAGTAACATACCGATGACAAAGGGAACAACGTATATCGTTATGCGGTTTGACCCATAAAGATCTTCGTAGAATATGTGGGAGCCAATATGAACATCCAGGTTCCGCTATTGGTTATTGACCGGAGACGTGTCTCGGTCATGTCTACATAGTTCTCGAACATGTAGGGTCCGCACGCTTAACGTTCGGTGACGATCGGTATTATGAGTTAATGTGCTTTGATGTACCGAAGATAGTTCGGAGTCCCAGATGTGTTCACGGACATGACGAGGAGTCTCGAAATGGTCGAGACATAAAGATTGATATATTGGACGGCTATGTTCGGACACCGAAGTGTTCCGGGTGATTTCGGAGAAAACCGGAGTGTCGGAGGGTTACCGGAACCCCCCGGGGAACTAATGGGCCACATGGGCCTTAGTGGAGAGAGAGAGGGCCGGCCTGAAGGAAATATGCCCTAAAGGCAATAATAATGTTATTATTTTATTTCCTTATATCATGATAAATGTTTATTATTCATGCTAGAATTGTATTATCCGGAAACATAATACTTGTGTGAATACATAGACAAACTAAATGTCACTAGTATGCCTCTACTTGACTAGCTCGTTAATCAAAGATGGTTATGTTTCCTAACAATAGACATGTGTTGTCATTTGATTAACGGGATCACATTATTAGGAGAATGATATAATTGACATGACCCATTCCATTAGCTTAGCACCCGATCGTTTAGTGTGTTGCTATTGCTTTCTTCATGACTTATACATGTTCCTATGACTATGAGATTATGCAACTCCCGTTTGCCGGAGGAACACTTTGTGTGCTACCAAACGTCACAATGTAACTGGGTGATCATAAAGGTGCTCTACATGTGTCTCCAAAGGTACATGTTGGGTTGGCGTATTTCGAGATTAGGATTTGTCACTCCGATTGTCGGAGAGGTATCTCTGGGCCCTCTCGGTAATGCACATCACATAAGCCTTGCAAGCATTGCAACTAAAGGGTTAGTTGCGAGATAATGTATTACGAAACGAGTAAAGAGACTTGCCGGTAACGAGATTGAACTAGGTATTGAGATACCGACGATCGAATCTCGGGCAAGTAACATACCGATGACAAAGGGAACAACGTATATTGTTATGCGGTCTGACCGATAAAGATCTTCGTAGAATATGTAGGAGCCAATATGAGCATCCAGGTTCCGCTATTGGTTATTGACCGGAGACGTGTCTCGGTCATGTCTACATTGTTCTCGAACCCGTAGGGTCCGCACGCTTAAGGTTTCGATAACAGTTATATTATGAGTTTATGAGTTTTGATGTACCGAAGTTAGTTCGGAGTCCCGGATGTGATCACGGACATAACGAGGAGTCTCGAAATGGTCGAGACATAAATATTGATATATTGGACGGCTATATTCGGACACCGGAAGTGTTTCGGGTGATTTCGGAGAAAACCGGAGAGCCGGAGGGTTACCGGAACCCTACCGGGAAAAGTAATGGGCCATATGGGCCTTAGTGGAGAGAGAGAGGAGCAGCCAGGGTGGGCTGCGCGCCTCCTCCCCCCCTTGGTCCAAATTGGACTAGGAGAGGGGGGGCGGCGCCCCCCTTTCCTTCTCCCTCCCCACTTCCTTCCACCTCCTAGTAGGAGTCCTACTCCTACTAGGAGGAGGACTCCTCCTTGGCGCGCCTATAGGGCCGGCCGGCCTCCTCCCCTTGCTCCTTTATATACGGGGGCAGGGGGCACCCCTAGACACACAAGTTGATCCACGTGATCATATTCTTAGCCGTGTGCGGTGCCCCCTTCCACCATAATCCTCGATAATACTGTAGTGGTGCTTAGGCGAAGCCCTGCGACGGTAGTACATCAAGATCGTCACCATGCCGTCATGCTGACAGAACTCTTCCCCGACACTTTGCTGGATCGGAGTCCGGGGATCGTCATCGAGCTGAACTTGTGCTAAAACTTGGAGGTGTCGTAGTTTCGGTGCTTGATCGGTTGGGCCGTGAAGACGTACGACTACATCGACCGTGTTGTGCTAA